CATTTTGGCGCCAATAATTCACACGAATTTATAGGTTAATCTAGGTATATGTTAATTACAAATTCGCAAGTCTGTTATTTTGTTTCACTGATACTAAGATGTTAAGTCATGGAATTTACCTTTGAAATCACTCTCCTTTCAATTCTAGGGATAACTTTCGGAATACATTACTTTCAAATACTCTGAATTACATAATTACGTTTCGGTTAGTAATAATTCCTTTCTTTAAGACTCTATTTCACTCCTCTCTTCTACATTCCTAAACTAGTAGACTCAGTAAACTCAATCGTCTTAATGTAGGCATAATTTAGCCACAAACATTATACGTTAATAAGTTTAACTTAAACAAATTTCTGGTAATAAACGGATAATTTAATACTACAAATTAATCTAATCTATATACGGACCTGCCAGAGTTACTAACAAAACTAACAAAACTGCTACCTAATTTTTTTTCCTCTTTCTTCTTTCGCTCTCACTTCCTCCTGCGTCAATTCTCCGCAAATTGGGGCATCAGCCTGGGTAAAGCCGCTTGGCTAAAACAGACATAAATAGCTCCTTAGGTCATCTCAAGTACTCGTCACAAATTCACGTACAGGTAAGGATAACGAGCATCTTAAACAATACGTTCAGTCTCGCTTTTATTCTCCCTCCCAGTTTAGACATGGCTGGCTGTCAGGGTCTTAGGAGCCCAATAGCGGTAGTCTCCTCCCGGCTTCTTCGCGTTAGGTTAGTGGTCCCGCGAGGCCAACACCCCTCCTCAATATGGAGGTACTACGCCCCTCAGGCCAAATTATAGTTAGCCGCCTCGCATCTGGTATAGAGAGGGCCTCACCTGTCACCCCCATTCTATCTTATGCTTACTACTCACCGAGAGGCCAACACCATGCCACAACGCTCGGTGGCCACGAAATCCCCTTGCGCCAACTCATAGGTAGAGCCTCTCAAGCCGCTTGGCACCTAGCAGGGCCTCACCAGTCACCAATCTAGTGTAATTGTTTCGCCACAGAGCGGCACTAGCTAGTCAGCCAGCAAACACATAAAAATTTTCCTAACCTGAACATTTCCTCTCACACCCATAGCATGTCTAACGCTTCAGTACGAGATGATGAGCTATCGCTTGCCAGCACCCCGTCCAGGTCTAACGCTCAGCCAAGACAGTCCAGTATGACACCCAGCTACAGATCCTGGACTGTTCCAAAAATCACAGCCGAACTGAATAGAAGAAACATTCCCTGTTTCTTCTATTCAGGCTATAGCCAGGAAAGCTGAACTTTTTCGTTTACTAAACACCCAAAACGCTGATGAAACACCGGGCCTTAGTTCTGAATGTACAATACAAAACAGTTTGGCAGAACTACGGAGTATGATGACCTCTTTGGTAGCTTCTGTAGCTACTATAAACAACAGGTTAGATAACCTGGAAGCCACTAGTCAAACTAGCATTCCAGAAGTACAAATTCCACCAGGACAACTTGAAACAAGCTCAGGAGGTAACTCCACTCCTATTCCTGCCAAAAGAATGAATATTATTAACCCAGTACATCTGATTCCACAAAATCTAAAACGTGACATACTAGAAAGGAAAGATGTTAATCTAGCTTCCCTCCTCATTGCCTCACAGGATATAATCGAAAATAGGTCTTACAACTTCGACGATATATCCGTGGTAATGAAATCTAGAGATCCTAGGCTTAATAAAAAGCTAAATATTCCTGAATTTGTGCTAGCTTTTGGGTTATATAGGGATGTCATTTGCTCTTCCTTCCCACACCATAGAGAAGAGCTGGATCTATATCTGCACAAGCTGGTGGAACTAGCTTACAAATACGGCGGTTACGCGTTCTACGACTACCATAAGTCCTTTTCGACCAGATCAGCCGCGTCACTGGCTCAGTATAACACTCCTACCGACTGGAGTCAGGTGGACACAGAATTATTCTGTAGACATTTCGCGGGGCTTAAAACACCAGCATGTGCAATATGTTCTTCAGTCTCTCATACAGCAAATTTTTGTCCTAGTAATATAGATGGTCCGTCTGCTAGTAACACCAATTCAGACTATCTTGCTAACACAACTCAGAGGGGAGTGAAAGACAAGTTAGGGAGGCCTATAGTGTTTCTTGGGAAAGCACAAGTTTATAATAACTTCAATGCGGGGGGTTGTAGTTATAGCGCTTGTAGACTGCTCCACGTTTGTTCAATCTGTTTTAGAGCACACGCAAAAACTATGTGTCCAAACAAACTGTTCCCTAAGAAATTAATGACACCAATAAACGTACCCAATTTACAATGTTACTTGACTGAACATCCTTCTTCACAGCTGGTTGACTTTCTCATCTCTGGTTTCACTAGAGGCTTTCACACAGGTTTAGTAGCACTCCCTTCAGGCATACTAGAATGCCACAACCTACAGTCTGCAATAACAGATCCAGCCAGTCTAAAAGATCTTCTCAACAAAGAAGTAGAATACGGTTTTATGATAGGACCCTTCACCACACCACCATTCACTTCTTGGAGAACAAGCCCACTAGGTATAGCAACGGGCAAATTTAATAACAAAAAGAGGTTAATAATCGATTTCTCAGCACCTCACTCCTCCAGCTCCCCAAGTTTGAATTCCCTTATACCTTCCGAAGTCTTCTCACTACAATTTGCTTAAATACACAACTCCATACAAGCAGTTGTCAATTTTGGTAAAGCAGCCTGGTTAAGCAAAACGGATATCACAAATGCTTTCAAACTTCTACCAATTAAACAGTCACTTTGGCATCTACTGGCGTTAAGTGGGAAGAGAAATACTATTTTGCGACTAGGCTGACCTTCGCTCCAAAAGCAGCCCGACATATTCGCAGAAACCTTGAATTGGCTACTACTTAACAAATTCAGGTGCCCATTAGTAATCCACTACCTCGATGATTTTCTTTATGTAGAGCCTCACCACTACACACACGCAGTCTGAAAAATGCACTCTCCCTATTTAAGGAATTAGGAGCCCGGTAGCACCAAATAAGACAGAAGGCCCCAGTATAGAAATAACCTTCTTAGGTATCACACTCAATTCTGTAACTATGCAAGCTAGCCTTCCTAAAGTCAAAGTAGACAGGATCTTAACTCACATTCACACCTGCACCAATCACGGGTCCTGCACCAGGAAAGAACTACAGTCATTTTTGGGTTCTCTTAACTTCGCCATGAGAATTATTCCTCAAGGCAGGGCTTTCATCTCAAGGTTACTTTCTCTTCTACACGGCCTCCCTGACGATGACACTAAGATTGATCTAGACGATCCTGCAAGGGCTGACCTACAAATGTGGAGTCTATTTTTATCCTCATGGAATGGTAGGTCATTGTTCATTCCCACCATCTCTGACGAGTCCCCGGTTATCTGGACAGACGCTGCAGCTACCGTCGGGTACGCTGCAATATTCGGAGACGAATGGGTATATGACAGTTGGCCACCTGAAACAGCTACCCTAGAAAACTTTGACAGAACATCAGCACTGTTCGAGATCTTCCCAATAGTAGCAGCAGCACACATTTGGGGAGAAGATTGGAGGGGTAAGGCAGTTAGGTGTTTTTCTGACATAGCAGCTTGTAACATAATTAACAAAGGACGCTCTCAATCCCTGTCAATTATGAAGCTAGTAAGAAAACTTACATGGTTGGCAGCAAATTTGCAGTTTTACATTTGTTGTATTCATGTTCCAGGCATTTTCAATAACGCAGCTGACGCTTTGTCACGTTTTAATTTACAGGAATTTTTCAGACTGCACCCTACAGCAAAGAAGCAACCCAAAACTCCTCCGCAATTCAAAGACCTAATCATGCATTAAACCAGTTATTAGCTCACAGTAGAATTCTCGCACAGGCAGGGTTGTCAGTAAACACGAAAAAAGCGCACAATAGGGCATTTGACATGTTTAAAAAATTTGTTCGTGACTTTAATATAATAAATCATTTTTCTGTAGAAACCATGGTTGCTTTTACAATTTTTTGCCACTTCTCGTTAAAACTAGCCTACAATACCATTAAACTATACTTGACGGGGATACAACATTTCATGCTAACTCTTTATCCAAACAAGACTCCTTTCTTATCCACATACCCCATAAAAAACATACTAAAAGGTATCCAGAGACTAAAAATCCCTAAAAAGACTCCCCATAGACAGTAACATCTTTAAAGAAATCTCTAAGTTATTAGATAAAAGTCCTTTTGAACATACCACTAACCTGGTAATTAAATCAGCTGCTTATTTGGCCTTTTTCGGGTTTCTAAGACCCAAAGAATTTACGGTAGAAAAAATATCTGACATTGACATTTGCCTTAACCCCTTAAGGACCAAACTTCTGGAATAAAAGGGGAATCATGACATGTCACACATGTCATGTGTCCTTAAGGGGTTAAACAGAAAAACTTAACCAAAGTAAATGATCATTATGTCCTATCGATCCCCCGCACAAAAACAAACCAAGCAGGCCCCTCAGTGGAGATTAAGTATTTCCCTACCGGTTCCAAATGGTGCCCAGTTCAACTGCTAGATAATTTGATAAAAAATCAGCATATTAGAAATCCAGAACTGCCTCTGTTATCCCTACAAGGAAAGCCACTTACTACTAAACAATTCATGCTATACATATGTTCTTTATTACTCAAACTTGGCCTCAATCCAAATTCATTCTCAGGACACTAATTCCGTATTGGGGCTGCCATCATAAAGAAAATGGGTCGCTGGAAATCTTCTGCATACAACCGGTACATTCCAAACCCAGAGAAAGAAAACTCGCTTTCTATAATATGTCTAAATAATGTTGTTGTTGTACTAAATAAACATGTTTAAATACTTTTTGGCCCTCTTTTTACAGGCCTAACCTCTCGTCGGTTTCGGCACACCTCAACCGACTTGTGTTTATCAAAACTACCCTCACCTTAAGTGAACGCCTCCTTTCATAATCCCATACACAAATAAAAGGCGTATGCCTGAAGTTGTGGGAGGGATTTAAAGCCTGTATAACCCTGCAAACCCCTTGCTTACCTGTCTTTGTCGATTCCAGAAATTTCCCTCCCACCACACCCTCTTTTCATATCAATATATCCGGGTGGGCCCTCTTTTTACAGGCCTAACCTCTTGTCGGTTTCGGCACACCACAACCGACTTGTGTTTATCAAAACTACCCTCACTTTAAGTGTGCGCACCCTTTCATAATCCCGTACACAAATATATATATATATATATATATATATATATATATATATATATATACACAAAGTCCTGTGCACCTTCCTTGATATATATTGATAAATTTACCTTGAGAAAAGTCTGATAGAGGACTGAAACGTCGGCAGATTTGCTGGTGTATAATTGCACAATAAAACGTCAATATTTATCTACAAAGTCCTGTGAGTGCACCTTTCTTGATATTTATATTTTGGAACAAGTGATTTGCCAGGCAAGGATAAGACCGGGAGAGTGAGTGCTGGATCCACGTGTGTATATATATATATATATATATATATTCAGATTAGCCACAACAGTAAAACCACTGACACCTGTCAATAGGTGGGATATATTAGGCAGCAAGTAAACAGTCAGTTCTTGAATTTCAAGCAACAAGATCTGAGTGACTTTGACAAGGGCCAAATAGTGATAGTTAGATGACCGTGTCAGTGCATCTCCCAAACAGCAAGCCTGGCACACTGCAAAAAATGTTCATTAATGGATTGAGGAACTTGACAGAGATTTGAAGATGTTGCATTTGCCTCCAAATTCCTCAGATCTCAATCCGACTGAGCATCTGTGGTAGGTGCTGGAACAAGAAATCTGATTCATGAAGGCTCCACCTCACAACCAGCTAGACTTAAAGGAACTGCTGCTAATGTCTATGTGCCAGATACCATAGTGCACATTCAGAGGCCTTGTTGAGTCTATGCCTTGATGCATCAGAGCTGTTTGCACAGTATCAAGGGAACCTACACGATATTAGGCAGGTGGTTTTAATGTTGTGGCTGATCAGTGTATATCTTCTACTATTGGCAGTAACTATTGTGACTGACCATGATGCTTATGAGCTGCTAGCTGTAGAACTCTAATCGGTGAGAGCAATATTTGCACAAGTATAAGGACTGCCATTTACACAGCACACATTACACAATCTAAATCCTTACCAGGCACAGAATCTAATTTACCCACTGGTGTTCTATTCCGGAAAGTGAAAAGAGAAGTCCTCATCTGCATCAAATTATTGTAAATTTTTAATTGTGTAAATGTACATATTAAAAATGTTTAGAGATTCCTGGACAGCAATATACAGTCAGGGGGAAAAGGCTAGTATATAGTTTAATTTTATGGTTCTACATATCAGGACATAATAATCACCTGTTCCTTAGTAGGTCTTAAAATTAGGTAAATATAGCCTCAGATGAACAACAACACATGACATATTACACTGTGTCATGATTTATTGAACAAAAATAAAGCCAAAATTGAGAAGCTTTAGCGCCTATAGAATTCAAGGAGGGTGTACTTTGTTTTTCCAATGACTGTATAAACAATCTATGCAGCAATCAATAAATTTGGTGTTTTGTCCAAACATTATGGACAACACACCATGCCATGCTGAAATATTACAGGGCAGTATTGAAGAGGTTAAAATGAATCCTCTGGTGTTGTTCCGACTAGCACCAAAACACTTCCAAATAGTCCACCTTCATATACTCTGATTTTATTTTACTATTATTTCCAACATTAACATTTACAGAGCATTTTTAGTCCTACCCTGCCATGTCCCATTCTGGCTATTCTAAAATAACATTCAAATAGACAAAAACACTGCAATGAAAATATGCAGAAAATGTGTAATCTTCCCTTGTGGATTGCTTGTATCTCTTTGTAGAATAATAGCTAGTTGGTTTATGTTTCAGATAGAAGGTATCTGTTTTAGTTGTGTTATGATATGCAGGCCAGAAGGCAGCTCAGTGTTCTGTACTCCAAGTTTACACATTCCATGAATAGTGAAAGACCACACGTTTTGCAATTAACTCTTTCAGCCATTTATGGTGACAGGTCATGAAAAACAAAAATCAGGGCACATAACAGAATGAAACATTTTCACACTTTAGACCATTCTCTTAACAGAATGCTGTACATAGTCTGTGAGACGGATGTGACTGTAGGGATGTACTGAGGGAAGAATGTGGCTGTGGAAAGCGATGGACTGAGGGAAAGTGTCAAAAAGACTTATACGTCTGCTGTGTGGCTGAAAAAAAAGGCCTATATTCAAAAATGGATATTAGGGTGTAACAGAAAAAAACAAAACTGACATTTAAGAAACCGCATCAAATATTCACTGAAAATTAGTAACACTTTGATAAATCTCCCCAAAAGTATCCCTGGAATCTTTTTCAAATTTTGGCAACTAAATATCTATAGGCATTATATTTGCCCAATTTAATTTTTATCTATTTTTGTCACACCTTCCGTGTGTGACAAAATCGTTTTTTGTTCCAGATCCTGACTGAAATATTTTATCTCCAAGGATAATTTGTTAAATAAATTAAAAATGTTATAATTTATTTAAGTATGTGTTTTGGGATCCCCAAACAGCAGTCAATACTTTTATATCACTATTTAATCTTCTGCTAATGGCTTTGTTATACCATATTTCTAGTCGAAAAAATATTTTGTTTTTTTTTCCAATTAAAAATAGCTTCGAAAGTGTTAAATGAGAATATGGTTCCATTCGTAGATATGTTTTGGTTTCGTAAAAGATAACTCTTAAAACATTTCTATTCACCCTTATACTTAGTATGTTATTTAGAAATGGATTCTGAAAAATGATAAGCCTTCTTCTGTTTCCTTACTCTATAATAACCCACTGAGCCGTCAACGAGGGAAATAGTTAAAATTATTTACATATTTCGTAATTTTGCTCCTTCTGTAAATGGCATTTCAGCTTATAAAATCTCTGTAAACGCGGCATGAAAATGGAAAATTGAAAGTGCCTTTTTTATTTTCCATTCTCAAAACAGAACTGTTACTTCAATTTAAATTCATTTTCAGATGTTAGACATAAAACCTATAAGAATACTTTTCACACATAATTAATGCAGCATGCATTTAATAATATACTAGTCTTATATTCAATATATATATATATATATATATACTTAAGTATAAAACTAAAATAAAATACTGTATATTGATTTTTATAATCGTATTTTCTTATTATTCATATTTCACATTATTTTGTAAAAGAGCATATGGTTTTGAATAGTCAGTATCCAGGTATGCAACATGCCCTTGATAGGATGCAAGCTTTTTGATAGGATGCAAGCTGGAAAGGACAGAAAGGAGCAGAAAGGGGCAGAAGGAGCACAAAGGTAAAGTAGGAGAAGGAACAGAATAGAGCAGGAAGGGTCAGCAAGGAACAGGAAGGGTCAGCAAAGAGCAGGAAGGTTCTGCAAGAAGCAAGAAGGGGCAGCAAGAAGTAGAAAGGGGCAGCAAGGAGCAGGAAGGGTCTGCAAGGAGCAGGAAGAATCAGCAAGGAGAAGGAAGGGACTGCAAGAAGGGGCAGCAAGGAGCAGTAAGGGTCTGCAAGGAGAAGGAAGGGTCTGCAAGGAGCAGAAAGGGACAGAAGGAGCACAAAGGTAAAGGAGCAGAACGAATCAGAAGGAGCACAAAGGTAAAGTAGGAGATGGAGCAGAAATGGCCAGCTGGAAAGGGCAGCAAGGAGCTGGAAGGGGCAGAAGGAGCGCAAAGTTAAAGTAGGAAAAGGAGCAGAAAGGAATAGAAATGAGCAGGAAGGGTCAGCAAGGTGCAGGAAGCGTCTGCAAGGACTAGAAAGGGACAGAAGGAGCAGGAAGGTAAAGGAGCAGAAGAAGCCAAGTAGGAGAGAAGACAGTGTCAGAAGAATAAGAAGACTGTGTCAAATGAAGAAGAAGAAAAGGAGATTGGAGCAAGAAGGATAAGTAAAGTGATCCCTCCACTTTATTCTGGAAACCACATCATAAGGCTTTAGAACCTGGGTCTGGCAGCACGGGCAGACTGAGCGATTGGGCACTTTGGACGTGGTCCGGGGGCCCGGCCAAGGTAGGGCGCCCACCACCCAGCCACTTTGTGTCTGTGGCACACTCACACACAACAAAACTTGCACTGATCTCTCGAGTCCAATGCACGCTAGCCGTGCCGCCCTCGGGTCCAGCACTGCTAGAAGTGGAGCTAGGGTCTGGGGAAGCAGAGGAGTATTTCGTCCCTGTGCTCGTGAGCGCGCAACGTCAACGTCAGGCACGCACATCGACATGCAACGCCTGCATGGGCCACCCGCTACTGAAGAGTACATTTTTCAATGATCAGGAGCCCGGTCAGGCACCGCGGCCCCTTATCAGCGCGACCGGTCCTCTGCACTGTGTAATGCCACGATGCAGGGAGTTTCCCCCTCCCTGCTTACCAACGTATATCTGTTTGTATGTTAGTGTGTATGTGTTAGTGTGTGTCTGTGTATCTGTAGGTATGTTACTGTGTGTATATCTGTATGTATTTTAGTGTGTGTCTGTGTATCTGCATGTATGTTAGTGTGTGTCTCTGTAACCGCATTAGTGTGTATCTGTATGCATGTTAGTGTGTGTGTGTATCTATCTTTATGTGTGTTAGTGTGTGTCTGTATGTGTGTTAGTGTGTGTCTGTGTGTGTTAGAATGTTTCTGTCTGTATGTGTGTTAGAGTGTGTCTGTAAATTTGTATGTCAATGTGTGTGTCTGTGTATCTGTATATGTGTTGGTGTGTGTATGTATCTGTGAGTCTGCACCTGTGTATATGTACAAGAAAATACACCCCTGCATTCAAATATCAACACTACATACAGACACACCCCTGCCTTCAAAGGCAAACAGTACACACAAATACACCCCTACATTCACACACACATACTCCATTCAAAACATGCTTATAGTCAACCATACAAACACTGCTGGGGGCTAAGTACAGCCCTGCAAGGATGGGAAAATGGTAGATACCCATCTGGCAAAGTATTACGGTAGTTGTACGAAAGATGGGGATCTACTTTATTTTTCCCATCCTTACGATAGGTGGACCTAAAAAAAAAAAATCTTGCACCAGCCACCACTCTACTTTAGGTCAAAAACTTAAATAAAATAACTTTTTAATGGGAGGAAAAGGGGGCGGGGAACCTATTAACTAGCCCACTACAGCCCCTGTCCCCCACAACCACCCA